AGTTGTTGACCACAAGAATAGTTAGTTGTGGCATTTGAAGTTTGGCCATCTGAACTTAGGTCACTCAATCAATTGATCACTTAAGATATGGTAATTGGTATACCAATTATTGAGATGCCCGACAAACTCTGTGAAGGTTGTCTAGTCGAAAAGCAGTCCAGGAAGTCTTTTGTTTTGACTATGTCAATGAGATCATCCTGCATTACTTGAAGTTGTGCGTTCAGATGTATGTGGTCCTTTTGAGGAGCATACCATTGGTGGAAATAGGTATTTTGTTTCACTTTTTGATGAGTTTAGTCAAAATTTGTGGATCTATGTGATCAAGAGAAAGGACGAAGTACTCAAAATCTTTAAGAGATTCAAGATGCTTGTCGAAAACTAGAGCGATAAGAAGATCAAATTTCTGTGAACAGGTGGAGATGGCGAATACACATCCAAGATATTTAAATAATTATGTGTAGAACATGGTGTTGATCATGAGGTAACTGCTCCTTATACTCCTTAACATAATGGAATAACATAAAGAAGAAACAAGACCATATTAGACATGGTGAGATGCATGCTGAAGCAGAAGAATTTACCAAAATCCTTATGGGGTGAAGCTGTTATGCCTGTCGTTTATATTTTTAATAGGTGCCCTACCAAGAAGCTGAAGAACAAGGTTCTTGAAGAAGTGTGAAGTGGAAAATGAACATTAGTAAGTCATTTGAAGGTGTTTTGCTCTATTTGTTACAATCATGTTCCTAATGCTAGAATAAGGAAGCTTGATGATAAGAGTGAACCTATGATTCTGGTAGGATATCATAAGACTGCATCATACATATTATTCAATCCAATGAACAATAACATCGTGATGAGTCGAGACATTGTGATTGATGAGAAATCTGCATGGGATTGGAATTTGGTGATTTAATTAACAAGCCATTTATGAGCTATGGCGTTAACAAAGAAACTAATAAAGTCGAAGTTGAAGACAATTGATACTCCAGTCGAAGTCGAGGTCGAAGAAGTTGTTGACATTCCCAACACAAACGAAGTCGAAGAGGATATGGTTTGTACAAGCCAGAGACCTCAAAGACCTAGAGCTCGTCCAACAAGACTTCAAGACTATGAAGTGGTTGGTGATGATGAAGCACAACAGATGTAGAACTAGTTCATTTTTTTTACTTGCAGGTGCTGAACCAATCAACTATAGTGAAGCCTTGAAAGATAAACAATGTAAGTCTTCTATGGTCGAAAGTTACAAGCAATCGAAAGAAACAACACATGGGAGTTGGTCGAATTGCCAAGATGTACAAAAGCTATCAAAGTGAAGTGGGTGTTCAAGTTGAAGCACAATGTTGATGGGTCAATATCAAGACATAAGACGAGATTGGTAGCTCAAGGACTTCTTCAGAGAGAAGGACTTGACTACTCTGAAGTATTTGCACCTGTCACAAGATTGGAAACTGTTCGACTGGTTGTAGCCATGGCATGCATGCAAGACTGATCAACATTTCACTTAGATGTGAAATCAGAATTTTTGAATGGACCTTTAGATAAAGAGGTATATGTCACACAACCTCCTTAGTTTGTGATTCATGAGGAAGCAAGAAAAGTATTCAAGTTACACAAAGCGTCGTATAGCCTCAAGTAGGCAACTAGGGCATGGAATAAGAAGACCGACTCATACTTGGTCGATTTGGGATTTATCAAATGCAAATCTGAGTATGGTGTCTATCTTCAGGTTTTGGCACAAGATATAAAATTATCTGCTTACATGTAGATGATTTTCTAGTAACTGGAAATAGATTAAAGAACTTGTCGAAGTTCAGAGAGCTGATGAAGAAGAAATTTGAAATGTCGGATTTGGGAACATTGTCGTACTTCCTAGGTATGGAAATTCAAATGTCAAATCAAGGTATGGTGCTACATCAAATAAATCATGTCAAAGGGATACTCAAGAGGTTCAGGATGGATGGTTCGTCTCGATGCAACTTTGTTCAAAAAATCATCGGATCTCTGAGATATATGTGCAACAGTAAACTTGATATATGTTTCTCGGTCGGATTAATGAGCAGATACATGAGTGAACCAAGGGTATGACACATGAAGGCTACAAGAAGAATCATGAGATATTTAAAAGGATCGATAAACTATAGAATTCTATTTCGACGAGACTCTAAAAGAAAAAAAGCTATGGTTACTTGCTATTCAAATGCCGATTTGTGTGAATATAAAGAAGATGGAAGAAGCACTATTGGATATTTACTTCAAGTATTTGGCACCCCAATCTCATGGTGCTCGAGAAAGCAACCTGTGGTGGCATTGTCATCATGTGAGGCTGAATATATAGCAGGATCCTATGTTGCGTTTAAGCAATCCAGATCAAATTTGTGCTGGAAGAAATTAAGGTCGAAGTGAAGAAATCTCTGGTGCTACAGATTGACAACAAGTGAGTCATAGATCTGATGAAAAATTCATTTTTGCATGTAAGAAGTAAGCACATCGAAGCTAGATTTCACTTCTTAAGGGAGAAGATGAACTTGAAGTAAGGAATTGCTCAAGTGAAATACATATGGCTGGCATTTTCATCAAAGGATTGAAGATCGACAAGTTCCTAACGTTGAGAAAGAAACTAGGAATAGTTCAGATTGACAACTTGGATTATATGGGGGTATGTTGAGATTTTAGATATAATCCAAGTTGAGTTATGTCGTCCAAGCCCAAAGTTAATTAGAGTTTAGAGTTTGTTACTTAGTTTGTTACTTTACTTAGTAGACAAGTTAGTTGTATATAAATGCATAGTTTGTAATTCAGTTATTATCATTCAATTCAATAATACAATCCTTATTGCTTTATTCTCTCCTCACTAAAAGTGCCTCACGCACTAACATTTTTCACTATCATTACTTACTCTGATATCAGACTCTGAACATGGTTCAGAATCTGATGGTTCAAATCATCAAAAAGTTGAAAGAGAGTTTTGGGCATACATAATCCAACCCTCATTCTTGTGTATTTTCCCCTTCAAATATGTTTTAGTACTGCACACTTTTTGGAAAAAGAAAGGTGCAATGATGAAGGTCTTGCGGACCGACAACCTTTAGGAGTTGGCTGACAATTAGCGGATGTTGAGTGAGGTCAATTTGATTATCAGACCCGTTCAATGATGGGTCATGTTTTGGGCCTGGATTGGATGTTTAGGACTTCAACAATTATAAATTTATGGTTCTTTCTCACTTGTTGTTAGTACGAGTTGTATAAGGTGTAGAAATTCTGGTGAGAAACAAGAGTAGAAATTCAAAGAATTCAATTCCTGAAATTTGTCAGGCTTTGGGATTATCAAATGGGTTTGAGAAATATTTTAAATACTTTAGATTTATGTGATTTATATATTGAGAGTTTGAGAGATTGAGAAACACTCAGGAGTAAAAAATAGAGTTTGTTTTTTTGATACTTTAAAAACTATTTTTTTAACTCATTTTATAATCTTTTGTAATAATTTTTGAAGTATAGTCAATCTAAAAGTTAATCTCTCACTCTCTTTCAATTTATTTGATCAAATTGAATAAACAATTTTTTATATTTCCACCTTTTATGTTTTTGTTACACTGGAATCATTTAATTGATTGTCATATTTTTTGTTCAACACTTTAAACTTTTTTATGTGATTGAACTTTTAATTTTAGATTGTTTACTAGAGAGAATGTTGTATCTCCACGCCTAAAAGATCTTGAAGTTTATTCTCAAATATCCTTCTCTAAGCAAAATAGGTTTCATACAAACAAAATTCGATGTCTAAGTTGGACAAATTATTAGCAAATATAAATAAGTGGATATTGAATTAAGTGATCATACATAAATGATGAAAGACACATTGCTCTAGTTATAAAGTTTTGTGATAAAAGTATACAAATACATACTTCCTTAAATAGAATATACAATTTAATCACATAATATAATGGTTTGAGTATTGAGTAGTACTAGTATGTTTTGTTTTCCGATTAATGATATTTTTGTGTGTTATCTGTCCCTTGATGTAGGGAAAGGGCATTTATTGGAAAGAAAAATGTGTCTAAATACATCAATAAAAAAGAAGGGAAACTTTGAATTGATGAATGAATAAAATGAAGTAAACTGTGTTTTGGCAGAGCCACCAACTACCACCAACTTGTTTCCATAAATAGAAAGATTCTTTATTGGTCATTTTTCTATTACTATTAATGGCAGAAGACAATGTGAATCGTGGCCAGGTCTCAGTTATATGTTTTGTGAGGGTGTCACTGCATCTATTCATGTGCGCGCGTGCAAATCCAGTCAAATAAAATATCATATAAATACTTTTTTAAATAATTGAATAATTAATTTAATTAAAAAATATTATATTCTGAAAAGACTAAAGCTGTCAAATCCTAACTCAACTTGTATAAATCAATATTATTGGGTTAGATGATTTTTTCAAGATTTAAACTTTGATATATGGTTGTGTCTACGAATTTTTAATAATCAATATTACTTGTTTATAAATTAAAAAAAAAATACTATCGCTAATTTTTTATGATATTTTATTATATAAAAAAATGATTTTTTAAAAATCTTTTTATACACTTTTTAATCTCATTTGTTGATTATTATTATCTCATGTGACAATACTATGAGGACTTTTTTATATTATTATTGTTGACATGACATCTCATTAAAAATAATATTCTAGTTAATGAATTGGTGGAGGATTGGGCCTAACTTTTATGGTCCTATATAATTCTTTTTTAATAAAGAAAAATTAAAACTATTGGACCTAATATGTAAACACTAAAATACCATTGATGAAAAAGAAAAATGAGTAGAAACAATGGAAAAGCACAATAAAAATGAAATAAAAGTATAATAATATATAAATGTCAATTGGACATCTTGTTCTTCCTCATACTCCAAGAAAATCATGTCACTAGCCTTGTTCCTTATTTTGAACTATGTAGTTCTCTTCATGTGATATTGAGGGTAAATTGGTACTTTCCTTAACACTTTGGCAGATCACTTGGAGGTGGTAATATAGATTCATTTGGTCCTTTACCATTGTCCACAACAAATGCCATCTTCAATCCCCATGTTGTATGAATTTCTAAATGGCAATGCATAAACCACACCCCTAACAAAACATAACACAATACTTTAGTATTATATAACTTTGATTTAATTACGACAATATTTTATGAAATTCTATTTAGTCACAGTTGAATTGTAACATCTTTCGAACATATACGATAGCACATTTTGCATGCTTTCAAAAACAGTTATGTTCAGTTTTAAGATAACAATTCTGACTCAAGAATTGTTAGTTCGAAGAGTCAAACTTTAGACTTTAAAAGAAATACACTTGTATGTATCGTAGTATACGGATAATTAACCATAATTTAGATGCAATCGAAGAGATAAATTTACCTGGATTATCAGCTCTGAATCTGATAGCAGTCCAACCACCAGCTGGAACACCAACAGTATTTCTCTCAACAGGATCAACAAGATTAAACTTCTTTGTATCCTTTCTAGAATCAAAGTTCCCTTGTCCCCTACCAACTACAAAGAAATTGAATCCATGAAGATGAATAGGATGATTCTCCGGGGTTAGCATTCCGGTATCTTGCAAAACCAATTCAACAGTAGAATTATAAGCAAGTCTATAAAGCCTAGTCCCTTTCGTCGTCGCAAAATTCGTCAATTGGTTCCCTGTGAAGTTATAAACCACAGGAGGGTTTCCCGGAAAATCATCGCTAAAAACTCCTTTAATCTTGAAGAAATGTGCTTGAAGAAGCGCGATTTTCGGCATCACAAATGTAACATTGTTTATATCCGCTACGACGCGGCTGTTGTTAACACAAGTAGCACAAGGATTGATGCCAAGAGAAACAGTGAAGAGTAAATTATGATCAATCTTTATAGGAACCTTTGCAGGGTATTTCTTGGAGTTCAAGCTTCTTAGAGAATCTGTGAAAGTGTTGGCGGTAGAAGTAGCGTTTTTTGGAGGAAGGGAAGTTAAGGTTGTGGTTGTGGAACCAAGTGTGCCTGAGTAGTGTAAAGTGGCTATGGCAGTTTTGTTGTCAACAACTATTGGTGCATCCATGAAAGGAGAAGCTGCAACTAAGTAGTTTCCGAGTTTTTTTTCGGCTGTTAGAAGCACGTTTGTGGTTTGGCCTGGTGCTATAACAATGGTGTTGGTTTTGAATGGTTTTACATAGGTTGCATCAACCTCAACAACTGTTAGTTGATGGTTTGCGATTTTGAAAAAGAGTTCTTCATTGAGTGCAGCATTGATGATTCTTAGTAAGTAGGTGTTTTTAGGTTGTACTTCCAATGAGAATCCTTCTGCACAATAAAAGTTGAAAAAAATACTAGTAAGAAAAAACACACATGCTGACAAATGTACTTACATAATATCTACCAACGAGATCTTAGCATTGACAACGGAATTCAAACTCAAGTCATAGTGAACACGGTTGTCTTAAGTTTTCAAAGACCTGTGTGTAAGTTAGTTACAGGTTGACTATGACGAAACAAATAAAGGTCTTATTTTGCCACGGTTTAACCGTGACAAATATTTATATGGTTCATTTAGTCATGCACGATAACCTGCCTTGCATGTTTTCAAAAATGATCTTGCTTGTGCTTGTGAGATCTGAGTTGAATTCTTACCAACTAGACTCATCTAAGTTGGCGAAGTGGCAAATAATTTGAGAAAAACAAATATTTCAAAGAATGAGATGGAAAGAGTAATGTTCAAGTTTTGAGTCATGTTGATTTGGTCTAATGGCTCAAAAGCTAGAGTTTGGTTCTTGAAATTTACCTTGTGAAGCACATGCTTGGACAGGACCTGGATGGCCATTGATTGTGTGAGCATCAGAGACATTTGGAGCCAATCCAGATTTCAAAGCTTCATTTATTATAGCCTCAGTATCTGATTTCCACCATTCACCTAAACAAATTCAAAATATTGTGACAATTTTGAAGTATACTTTATTTACATGATTCATGTTATAGAAAATGGTGTTAGAACACTAACCCAATACAATAACTTGTTCCATATGGGGTTTGGGAAAAGGGTAAGGAACTCCAAGCTTTGGCAAAATGACTATAGCACCATGGACAGTGGACCTAAGCCAAAGAACATGAGCATGCCACCAAAGTGTGCCTCTTTGGCCTATAAGAGTGAAGTTGTAAAGATACGTCTGGCTCGGTTGAATCGGGCATTGGGTTATATACGCTGGCCCATCAGCCCAACCCGTTCTAAGTTGCTTAACTCCATGCCTGTCAAATTTCAATTCATTTTAATAAATATCCTAAAATTTAATAATAAAAAACTGAAAAAAATAACATGTTTAATAAATTAGAATTTGAATCCTCAACCGTTGCATTATCATAACATTATGATGCTGCAGCGGTAGAAGATTCAGGTCTAAGAAATTGTTATAGAATGATGAGAAACTCTAGCTTAACTTACCAGTGTATGCTAACATTATATTTGACATGGTTGACAACTTTAATTAGGACATTGTCATCTTCTCTAGCATAGATAGTGGGACCTGGGAATTTTCCATTTACAGTTACAATTGGCTTGGTTGAACACAATCTTGTAGCATTTTTCATCACAATCTATAAAGAATATAGTCAGTTAATAGCTTGCATGCAAAACAAACTACCGCACATGATTAAAAATTTGTCACGGTTAAACAGTGATTAAATATGACATCTTAAAAAACGCAAATAAATACAATGCACCTACGTTGAACTTGTAGTGGCGAACCATAGCATCCGCAGATAACGGAAGCAAACATGCTGCCAGCAATAGCACAATTCGAAAGCGCACCGCCGCCATAACAATCCTTTAGTTTTATACCTCAACTCAACAAAGAAATGCTGCTAGCTACTCTCTTGAATATGCAATGCAAGATTGAGCAGAAAGAACAACCTTATAAAGAGGCACTATTCTGCTGTAATGTCCCTTTTAGGATTTGGTTGTATATAGGGACACTTAATACGTATATGAAGTATAAATAACTCAAATAAAAAACACATAACACATAAAACTGTCATGAAAGTTAAGTAATTTTTTCTTGTATATTACATAAAAGTAGTTATTATATATACATCAACTATAACACTTTTTGAAGCTAAGGTAATTGAGTTTATGGTGATGTTTTTCTTTTGAAGTAGCCAGATTAGATGCTAGGTTTGGTCCACCCATATTGGGTAAACTACAATGTTACTCAACTAACATGCACCAATTTGTGACATGGACATGCTTAAACTTTTCAACTTTGACTTAATCCAACAAAAGATATATTGGTGGAATATGCTATTCAACACAGCTATATTTACACTACATTATTTGATTTTAGTGGAACTTATTTAAATAAGTGCAACGTTTCAAGTTTGAATCTTATAAATAAATAAATAAAATGTGATTGAGATGTAAGGCTTCACTGAATATGGCAGATGAGATTTTTTTATGAGATTAATTTTTTGTGAAATTTATGAAAACTTCACAATTTGATAAAACACCTATATATTTTTTTATGAGTATGATGTTTTTTTTCTTCCTGTTAAATATCTATTTTACCTTTGTGTTGAATATTAGCACAAAATCAAAACAGATTCTGTCATACAGCTCATTATGGCTGAATTCAAATTGTGATTAAATAGAAATTAATTGTATTATTATATTCTTACCTTATTTAGGATTAGCATTTATAGGGAGAATAATTACCCCTATTTCTTAGTGTAATTTATATTCTATAAATACTCATGTACTATGTTACAGAATAAATAATAAAGAAAAAGCATATTTCTATATGGTATCAGTAGCAACAAGAATCCTTTAGGGTTTTTTTTTGTTTTTGCTTCCGCTCTGTTTATCTTTTTTACATCCCACAATGTCTGATACCGAGTCCTCACTTTCACCCAAACATTCCTCACCCGAACCTAAATTAGTCCGAACGTACCATGAAAACCACCCTGTTCAGATCACAACAATTCGGCTGAACGGTGCTAATTATCTTCGATGGTCGCAATCTGTTCGTATGTATCTCAGGGGGAGAGGAAAGATTGGCTACATTACTGGCGACAAAAAACAACCAGACAAGGCAGGTGCAGATTATGATACATGGGATGCTGAAAACTCCATGGTCATGACATGGTTAGTCAACTCCATGGATGAAGAGATAGGTGCAAATTATCTCTGTTATGATACTGCAAAAGAACTTTGGGAAGGTGTCTCCCAAATGTACTCTGATTTGGAAAATCAATCCCAAATCTACGAATTAACTCTCAAATTGGGAGAAATTCGGCAAGGTGAAGATTCAGTCACCAAATACTTCAATTGTCTCAAACGTATTTGGCAAGATTTGGACCTTTTCAATGAGTATGAGTGGAAATCACCTGCCGATAGCAAACATTACAAGAAGATGGTGGATGTTAGTCGTGTTTTCAAGTTCCTTGCGGGTCTAAATGTTGATTTTGATGAGGTTCGTGGCCGAATTCTAGGCAGAAATCCTATCCCTCCAATTGGTGAAGTCTTTTCAGAAGTACGTCGCGAAGAGAGTCGTCGGCAAGTGATGCTTGGAAAAAATACAGCAGCTGTCCCTCCACCAGTTGAAGGATCTGCCTTGGCAATTCCCCATGTCAATCGTAAACCACTTCATAATCAACGAGGTGGAGACAAGACTCATTTATTTTGCGATTACTGTGGGCGCAATCGCCACACTCGGGAAACTTGCTACAAACTACATGGGCGACCAAATCATGGCAAGGCTGGCAAGTTTGGTGATCGTCCTATGCCTATGGCCAATGAGGTTGATTCGTCTCCATGTACGAAGGAGCAAATGGATAACCTTCTTAAGTTTCTAAAGTCCAATTCATCTCTTAATATCCCTACTGGAACTGTGGCACAAACAGGTAAGGATTCTTGGGCACTATCTGCTCACAACCACTCTAACCCTTGGATAATAGATTCAGGGGCATCTGAACACATGACTAATTGCTCTCATCTATTCAGTACCTATTTTCCTAGTTCAGGTTTTGAAAAAGTTAGGATAGCTTATGGTAGTTATTCAAGTATTGCAGGCAAAGGCAGCATAAAAATTTCAGAGCAAATCACTTTGCAATCTGTTTTACATGTTCCTAAATTCGCTTGTAATCTTCTATCTGTTCATAAATTGTCTAAGGACACTAATTGTTCTGTTCTTTTTCGTCCCTCTACTTGTGTTTTTCAGGACCAGAACTAGGGGAAGACGATTGGAACTGCTAGAGAGATGAATGGATTGTACTACCTTGATGGAATTCAGTTTGGCAATAAAGCGTTTTTCGGTTCAAACAGTACAAACGCATCTCCTGTTTCAGATCAAATTATGTTATGGCATAAAAGATTAGGTCACCCTAGTTTTTCATATCTTAAGCATTTGTTTCCTATTTTTTCCAAAGAAATAAATTCCTCACAATTTCATTGTGAAGCTTGTCACTTAGCTAAAGATCATCGTGTGTCTTTTAAATCAAAAGCCTATTCTGCTTCTAAACCTTTTTATTTAATTCACAGTGATGTTTGGGGTCCTTCAAAAATTAAAACTATGTCTGGAAAAAAATGGTTTGTAACATTTATTGATGATCATACACGGCTGTGTTGGGTTTATCTCATGGAGAAAAAATCAGAAGTTGAACAAAGATTTCAAGATTTTTTTAACATGATTAACAATCAATTTCAAACTAAGATTGGCATTCTAAGGTCTGACAATGGCACTGAATATTTCAACAAATATTTAAGTACATTCCTTGTAACTAAGGGGATAATTCATCAATCCACTTGTCGCGATACTCCGCAGCAAAATGGTATTGCTGAAAGAAAAAATAGACATCTCCTCGAAGTCACTAGAGCTATTATGTTTTCTATGAATGTACCTAAGTATCTTTGGGGAAATGCTTTATTAACTGCTTGTCACCTCATCAATCGAATGCCATCTCGGGTGTTACAATATGAAAGTCCTGTACAAGTGTTACAAAACAATTTTCCTACATCTCGTATTATTACGGATCTTCCCCTTAAAATTTTTGGTTGTCTTTGTTATGTTTACATCCCCAATGTTTTTCGTTCTAAGTTGGATCCTAAAGCCGAAAAATGTGTTTTTCTTGGCTATGCTTCCAATAAAAAGGGATACAAATGTTTTAACCCAGTTACAAAGAAATTTTTTGAAAGCATGGATGTTCACTTTGTTGAAAATCAACCTTTTTTTAAAAATTCTCTTCAGGGGGAGAGTCAATGTAATAATAAAGAAGATAATTTTTGGGAAACTTTGCCTGCTCTAGATGATATTGTGACTACAAATCACCCAAATGCTAAGATAATAGAATCTGAAACAGGGGGAGAAACACTGATTAAGGATGATAATCCTGAACTTAAAGTGTATGTTCGAAAAAAATTCCACAAAGGTGGTGCAAACCCTATTGTCTCTCCAGTAGAAATCCAATCTGATTTACCAAGTGAAGGTCCTACAGATAATCTGTCTTCTAGTTCTTCATCTGGTAATCCTTCTTACTCATCCAATGATTTATCTGATTTGTCTTTTCCTGATATTAATCTTCCAATTTCTGTGAGAAAAAATATTCCTGACCTCGATGTCCCAATTGCTGAGAGGAAAGGTTCTCGTATGTGCACTAAACATCCTATGTCTAATTACTTGTCATATGACAAACTATCACACACCCATAAGGCATATGTGTCTAGGATTTCTAATTTGTTTGTGCCCAGAACTATTCAGGAAGCATTAAGTGATCCGAATTGGAAATTAGCAGTGAAAGAAGAGATGGATGCTCTAAACAAAAATAACACTTGGAGTATCACTGATCTACCACAAGATAAAAAGGCAGTAGGGTGTAAGTGGGTCTTTACAGTGAAATGCAAGGCTGATGGAAGTGTGGAAAGATACAAAGCGAGATTAGTAGCAAAAGGATTTACTCAAACTCATGGTATTGATTACCAAGAGACTTTTGCCCCAGTTGCTAAGATCAATTCTATCAGAATTCTTCTTTCTCTTGCAGTAAATTTCAACTGGACACTATATCAATATGATGTTAAAAATGCCTTCTTGAATGGTGAATTACATGAAGAAGTATATATGAGTTTACCTCCTGGATTTGAAAAAAATCTTGGAAGAAACAAAGTATGCAGATTGAGAAAATCCCTATATGGATTGAAACAATCGCCAAGGGCCTGGTTTGAGAGATTTGGAAGTGTTGTTAAGAGACACGGTTTCACCCAAAGTCAAGCAGATCACACTATGTTCTTTAAACACTCATCTGAAGGTAAGATTGCTATCTTAATAGTGTATGTTGATGACATTATTATTACAGGAGATGACGTCAAAGCAATTAGTGATCTGAAGAGAAGACTTGAGGCTGAGTTCGATATCAAGGATCTTGGAAAGTTAAAATACTTTCTTGGGATGGAGTTCGCAAGATCTAAAGAAGGTATTTTTCTCAACCAGCGCAAGTACATACTCGATTTACTTGCAGAAACAGGGATGACAGGGTCTAAAGCAGTAGAAACACCAATGGATCCCAATGTGAAACTAAAGTCAGTTGCTGAAGATGAAATAGTAGATAAAGAACGTTATCAACGATTGGCTGGAAGACTAATTTATTTGTCACATACAAGGCCAGATATAGCCTTTGCAGTGAGTGTAATAAGCCAATTTATGCATGCACCAGGTGCAGCCCACTTTGAAGCTATTTTCAGAATATTAAGATATTTGAAAGGTACTCCGGGAAAGGGGCTGATATTCAGAAATAGAGGACATATACAGGTTGAAGCCTATACAGATGCTGATT